AGAGAGAGAGAGAGAGAGAGAGAGAGAGAGAGAGAGAGAGAGAGAGAGAGAATACATTCATACATACATACATACATACATACATACATGCTAGGTCCAAAAGAAACTCAAGGCAAATGGCTAACTGTGGTGCCTATTAGCATACCAAAGTGATGCTGGCATCCTGGCTCACTCAGTCCCTGTGGCTCCTCTCAGCTCTTCTCACCCCACCCCCTACCCTAAACTCATTGACATCCCTTCCCCAGCTTCTCATTCCTATATAACCCTACCATTTCAACCATGCACTCTCTTGGTCCTCCTGTTTCTCTTGGTCTTCTTTTGTCTTCCTGTCTTGCTCCCCCAGCACCCCCTCTCCTCCCATGGCCTGGTTCAGTCTACTGGCTGAGTAGGTTCTCTCTCTCTCTCTCTCTCTCTCTCTCTCTCTCTCTCTCTCTCTAACTGCTCTGGACTTTTCCAAATGCAACTAGCTGTTCTCTCCCTCATATCTGCAATAAAAACCTCCTCAACCATATCTCGGAGTGATCATGTCCTCGCTTCCTTCATCTGGTGCTGAAACCCAGGAGAGGCATGTATGGGCCCCCTTCTAAGGGGCTCAGCCTCTCCTAACTGAGCCAAGCTGCTGATGTAGCGCTTCTAAGGTATGGCCCATCTGTTTCTGCTGGCTTCTGCTACCCACTCATGTTCAGCCTCAAATTCTAGAGTCCATCTCTTCATCAGCTTCTTCTCTCAGCCGGCTCTAACCGTTCATCTCTCCTCACTTACTCAGACCCCAGCACCATGACGAGGCAACTCGCAACCATCTATAACTCCAGCTCCCAGGGAACCCTACACATTGAAATGGTTGTATCTGAAGAAGAATTGGGGGGGGGGGATGAGGGTAGGGTTGGTATTTTTCATTGTAAGACCCTTCAAATCCACTTGACCTTTAAACTATGTATGGCTTCGTTTAAAGAGGGAGAAACAACTAAATTAATTTTGAAACCTTTGAAAAACGGAGACCCCCTGGGGAAACAATGAGGATGCAGTTTCTACTCTTACAGGTCCCTCCTTTATCATACAGTGGAAAATGTGCTGATGTGTACTTTATATTAAAATAAAAACTCATTTTAGTAGCAGAAGCAGTTGACCATCTTGAACCCAGGACTCTGACCACCTGTGGGGATAAGACTGGCATTTGAGGACAGCGGAGAGGGACAGCAGGATGCTGAGGGCAGGAACCAATGGAAGGGGGAGGAAATTCCCTGCTGGGAAAAAGCTTGGATTATTTGGCTGAAAAAAGAGAAACCCACACAGAGGTCTTGGTTTGAAGCTTTGGAAAACATTTGTTTTTGTTCCTTGTTTAAAAAAGGGGGGGGGGGGGGGGGGAGGATGGCAAACAAAATTATTTGAAATGAGATTTTTAACAAGAAAAAAGAAAACTCAAAACATTTCATTAGCATCCTCTTATAGCCAACCAGTTCCAGAACGTCAAAGGCTGCTTGTCAGGGTTCCCGGCTCTTACGGTCCCCAGCGACCACCAGGCAAGGGGCAGTGTGTTGTCTGTTTCATATTCCTAATGACCTTCCTTTAGGTGTTTTACTTGATTCTTATTTTTCTACCACTTTCCGGAGTGTTTGCGGGTGAATTTGTGTTCAAAGGCCTCTTGGAGTAAGCATCGGTGTAAGCAAATCGGAGGGCTGTGTACTTTCAGTCCCGCAAACTAAATCTGAATTCCAGACTTGGTTCAGCACATCTGGAATCCAGTGTTCCCTGAGGAGCAGGAAAAAGACACCCACGCCACTGAGCTGTCTCTGTGACTGCTAAATGGAGGAGCTGGCACAGGGACCCCAGTAGGTGCTCAACACAGGGAAATGGCTCTTCCCTTCCTCCCACCCATGAAGAGGAGCACACCAGACTCTCTGTAACTGCATGTGGACTGGGTTGCCTGCATTTGAGCACACACAACCACCCCCCGGGGCAGGGGTGGGCACAATCTCACAGACCTACAGAGCCTGGTGAACACTAAGAGACCTAGACTTCGAGGACAGGGTTCTGGCCAAGGTTTTCAGTGAAAAAAGGTCCTGACTTTCTATGATGTCTTAGGGTCAGCTAATGTGAGCCTTGGAAAACAGCCATCAGCCAGGGATGCCGTGACAGCGGACCTGAGGAGAGTCCCCAGCAAACTAGAATCATGTCACAGTCAAGTCATTTGACCCCCATGGCAATCCCGTGGGGTAGAAATCCTTCCAGCTCCTACTACCCAGGTGAAGCGTGGTAACTCAGACACGCAAACACAGGCCCGAGTGCATACAGCCTGCAGTGAGTGACCAGACTCAGAAACCCAGCTTCGCTTCAGAAGTTCCAGTGTGCCTAACGGGGCCAATTCCCAGGGTCATGCTTCCACTTATGCCACCAAATACAGGACTTTTGAAGGAAAATTTAGAAGCTTTTTCCAGGTAAGAAAAAATATGATTACAATAAGCATAGAACGTCGTAGAATGAAGGGACGCAGGAGGGCTTTGATGTCATAGCATAGCGGGTATGGGAGGGCTCTCCATCTTTCTTTTACAAAGTCTGTTTCCTATGTGCAAATGGAAATGTATGATTGATATGGCCATCTGTATTTCTTTCTGACTGATTTTTAAATGCTTCAATTTATCTGTTCTTTATCTGCTCAGTTTATTTTTTGGGGGGAAAACCCCACATTAACAAGTGGTCAGGTGGCACCATCTTAAACAAAGGCAATCACGTGGTCAAGCTGCCATCTTAAATAAGGTCAAAACAGACAGGTCATATGGACTTACCAGCATCTTTACTAAGGGCAGCAAAAAGTCACTCCCTTTCTGTGGCTTGAGCATGTGTGGGGTACCCAGCACTCAGGCCGTCTGTATGGGGGAGAGGTCAGGAAATTGCTTCACGCCACATATTTGTTTTACAGGCTGAGAAAGGGACTCTGGTTTTTGGCCTGGTGTTCCTCAATGCCCCTCTCAGGCTCAGATGGGCAGGGCCCAGAGACCTATGCCCCCACATACTGGCAATAAAGTTTTTAATACAAATCTGTAATTCTGCTAGAACTCAAGGGTATGAGTCTACTTCTGCTGTTTTACAGATACCCATTGTCTGCTCTTCTATGCTATGGGTTTCCGTACTGATTGATAATACTAATTTATCTAAAACTTTTATGTCCTTTTATGAACTAAAAATTTATATAAACTTCACAGGATCAAAAGAAACCATTGGATGCCCCAGTCCTCAAATACCTGTAGAGATCTGAGACTATGACATTTAATATAATATAAAAGCTTTTGATGACAGAGAGACATGTCAGCTCCTGGCAGCATCCTGTATCACAGAGGTCAAACGAGCTCCAGACAAATGAGTTTCCTCACCTGTCTGTTCCTGGGGATGGTATTTCTTTCCCTCCTGGCCTCCCTTTCCCAGTCACTAAGACCATAGGCCAAAAGGTTCCAAATAAATTCATAAATTTTAACTCTCATCTCTGGTCTATGTTTCAGCAGGCTGGCAGAAACATCGACACAACAGTTGTGGACCCCAACCTGCAGCACTTCCCCTGCTATGGATGCCAGCAGAGACTCTTGTCTATGTGATGTGGACCAGCCCAGACAAACGTAATTACTTCCTTTCTCTGCAGCTAGGTCAGATGACCACACACTTCTGATAAATACCCCACTTCCCGGGTTCCCTCCCTACCTTTAACTAGCCAGAGTCCTGACCACCTGCACCCTATTGCAACTTGAAACAGCTTTGGAGAATACATCATCCTGTGCTCCCTGTTCCAAGGACAGGCTGGAGGGCTAGGTTAAGGATGGAACCCCTGGCATAGAGTCCACCAAAAGGGTTTTTTTTTCCTTTTCTCAGAGGGTCCTTTTCTCAGAGTTGGGCCATACCCGGACTCTGTTCCCACTCAGCCTTGGGATCTTTTCCCTGTCACTTTTCTTTGCTTTCTCAGGAGACAGCTTAAGAAATAATTATTTCTATATAAGTCATTCAGGATTGTAGCCTGGCTATACTCAGGGATCAGAACTACAGCTACAGGGCATTAAAAATGGTGATAGATTCAGATATCACTGTCAATGGCTTAGAGAATGTCTCTCCTTGCTCAGGATCTATTCAGGCTTAAGAATGTAGGCCTCCCTGTTCTTGCTGACTTTATTGGTCTGTGACCAACTGGGAAGCTTACATATTCAGATTTAATTAATATATGCTCTCAAAGTTTTATATATATATATATAAATGTATATATATAAATGTATATATATATACATTTAACAGATTTTGTTCCCCCAGTCCTCAAATACCTGTATAGATCTGAGACTATGACATTTAATATAAAAGCTTTTGATGACAGAGAGACATGTCAGCTCCTGGCAGCATCCTTTATCTCCTCCAAGAAGATGGATGGCCACAGAATAATTTCTACCCAGAAGTTCATGGCAAGGCTGGCCACACAGCAAAAAGCTGAGATCCTGTCCAGACTGTGAATATGAGAAGCAACAGGGATCAGTTGTCCTCTCTGCCAAGACAGGTAGGATGACCTCCCCACATTTCTACTTCACAGAAAAAGAAAATTGGCAGATCTCTGGGTTTATCAGCTGAACAAGTCCTGCCTTTGGGGCTTCTGTCCCCCAGCAACCACAGAGAGACTTGGAATTGGTGCCTAGGTAGCTAGAAAGCTGTCTCATTTCTTAAATTTATCCTTCTCAGATCTGACAATATTTGATGACTAGGATATCAGTTTAACAGCCCCAATCCCAAGATATATATATATATATATATATATATATATATATATATATATATATATATATATATGCTCTCCAATTACAGACAGGTATGCCTCATTCACAGACTTCATAGTACAGAATAGACTGGTTTCAGATATAACTCCAGAGGTTCAAAGTTTTAATATTGATAAATGCAGCTTTGATAAACTGATAGAACATTGACTACAAAAAGTTCTTAAGAGTTCTTAAATGTCTATGAATTTTTAACCCTTTTGCTATGATGTAAATCCATTCCAGCTGTCTTACAGATACCTGCAGGTTCCTAGAAAAAATTCTGCCAAATCTATTCCAGCTGTCTTACAGATACCTGCAGGTTCCTGGGAAAAGTTCTGCCACTGTATCAAGAAATCTGGTCTGATGAAAACTAACAATCTCCGGAGTCCATTTCTGACCCTACCTATTTTTCAAGGGTATTTTGCAGATTCACTGTTCCCGCCTGACCTTCAGAGAAACAACAGATGCCATGGCCTCTGTACTCCTGATTTGGCATGCCATTTCCCCCCAAGCTCCTGGAACACCACTGCTGCAGTCTGCCTCCTCAGGTCCTCAAGGAACGTTCCTGAGATCTCCCTCCGTGCATGACCCCCGGCATCCCCCTCCCCCCTTTGCCCCTTGTCAGCTTGAAGCAGTCTCAGGAATTCAGCGCCCTCGTTCCCCAACATGCTTCCATAGCTCACCTTTATTATAATAAACAACATGGAGGAATGCTAATATTCTGACCCGTTCCTTGAAACCCCACCCCTTGGGGCCACCCTGCATCCTGATGTAAAAGCTTCATTTTAAGAAAAAACTCCTCCCCTTCCTCTCTCTCTTCCACTCTCTTTCTTCTCTGCTATGAGGTGCGCAGACCTCCACTTTTCCTCTCTTCTCTTGCTCTCTCTCCTTTCTGTCTTTCTGTCTCTTGATCTCTATATTAAAATGAACTCTTTCCACAGATGCAACGCCTGGGTTATGAATGAATGTCTGCTGTCACCGCTGCTGCCATGCCTGCATGGTGTGTCTTGCCTGCCACCAGCTGCTGCATCTGCCCAGCATGCCAGCATGTTTCCCTGAATGCGTGGGATACCCTTGGAGTCCCCCACATGCATATATCATAACAGGCGGGGTGTGGGAGAGCGGTGGGTATGGGAGGGTTCTGATGTCATAGAGTTGTGGGAAAGGAGGAGGAGGGCTCCACTGGTTCCCTCCTGGAGTCTTGGTTCAGTGTGAGACTTAAATTAGAAAGTAAATTTCTTGACTTAATGAGGTCACAGGAGCAGCCCCTTCTGCCCACCTCCTTTGCTGGAAGCCCTGTTCCTCCTCTCAGTCTACAACTGTCCACAGTCTGCTCTGGATGGGGAGACAGGATATGAATGGAGCAGGCTGAAGTCCATGGAAATAAGGGTTGGCTTCTTCCATTTTCACCCAGAGCCTGCAAGACCAGCTGTCTGGGGGTTGAGGAACAGCCTCTATCTCAGCATCCAACTTCTTGCCTTCTGGAACTCCTTGGAGAGAGAAAACAAGAAGTTTTGCTCACACTCAATAAGTTGCTTTGCCATCCAGCTACTCGCAGGACCTCTGGGAACTGTGACTGCTCATGGGTAGGAGGAGACTATAATCCATCTGAATCACAGATGTGCAGTCCTAGTGTGTGTCGGGCATGGGATGCACAAATGAAGCCTCTGGCCTCTGACAGCTGAGAGTCTAGAGACAATGGGACAAGCTTCCTTCACTGCCCTATGGTGATTTCATGTGGCCAAAAGGTCAGCAGTCCAGGTGGAAGCAGCAAGTGCAAAGGCCCTGAGGTAGGACTGTGTGTGCTGTAGCTGAGAGGTGGCCAGAGAAAGCACAATGGTAAGGGTGGCTGGAAATCACAGGGACACTCAAGTTGAATCTCATAAGGTTTGCATGTGTCCATGTGTGTGCAGGTACATGTACATACATGTGTGCCTCTATGTAGAGGCCAGAGGTTCACTTTGAGTGTCTTCCTCTATTACTCTCCACCTTGTGTTCAAGAACTTGAAGCTCACAGGTTTGGCTAGACAATTCCCTGACACCACCACCCACCACCCACCCCACCACCCACCCCACCACCCTCCCCAACCCCCCCACCCCCACCCCGCTCTGCATCACAAGCATCAGGATTGAGGCAGCACACTGTGGAATCTAGCTTTGCATGTGGGTGCTGGGATTAAACAGGTTCTAATGCTTTCTTAATTTTTATTTTTATTTGATGTGCATGGGTGTCTGCCTGCATGTATATCTGTGCACTGTGTGTGTGCAGTGCCCACAGAGACCAAAGAAGGCTTTGGGTCCCCCTTGGAACTGGGATTATATATGGTTATGAGCCTCCAGGTGGATTCTGAGAATTGAACCCGGGTCCTCTGGAAGAGCAGCCAGTGTTCTTAACCCCTGAGCCATCTCTCCAGCCCCACTCATGCTTTTGTCACACACACACACACACACACACACACACACACACACACACACACACTATACCAACTGAAACATCTCCCCTTCACATTCCATAGAGACTTGTGGACCAAGGTAAAGTCTGTATAGTTTACTGTGAATAAACAGGAAGCCATCAAAGTGGTGTGACTTGGGGGCGCAGCGATCGGATTTAAATAATTATCCCATACAATACCCTCCCACAGCCGTTGTGGAAACAGATAATGACTGACCAGCTACCAAGGTAGGGTCTTAGAAGTTACTATTGCTGGGAGGAGAACATTTAACAAAAGAAAAGACTTTACCCTTTGTGAATCTGGATCAAAAGCGGAGATGCCATATAGCAAAACAAAACACACACAGAGCCATACCACAGCTGAAGGATGGCCATAGCCTCAGGGTTCTGTGCATGCCATGCGAAGGACACTTCCTTTATATCCTCCAGTGTCCCCATGTTGTCTCCACAAGGAACCCCACCCCAGTCCCTATCTCATCTGTTGTGATTTGAATGTGAAGTGTCCCCCATTAGCTCCTGCATTTGAACACTCAGCCCCCAGTTGGTGGCACTGTTTGGGAACCTTGCGGAACCTTTAGGAGGTGGATGGAGTCTTGCTGGATGAGGCAAGTAACTGGGAGCAGGTTTTGAGGTTTTATATAGCCCAGTGTGCTTCCTGGCTGCTCTCCGCTTCCTGGCTGCGAGCGTAACGCCTCTCCAGCCGGCCACTATGCCTGCCCTGTCACGGTCCCTTCCTAAACTGTAAAGAAACCCTTCCTCCCTTAAGTGGCTTCTCGTCAAGTGTTTGGCCGCAAGAACACTAACATAGATAGCACCTTCCTCTGCCATAGCCTCCCCTGGCTTGGTGGCTTACTTTGCACTCTGTCCTTGTTAGCAGCTACCTCCATGAACTGCCAGGGAGAAACACTCATTTTGCCTACTAAATGTTGGCGATCTGAACCTGTGTCCTCAGAACCAGTGACTCCAGCCACCTGAAACCTTTCACCCTGAGAAATTAGATCCATCACGTTAAAAACAGAATAAGAAAGCAAGCAAGTAATCTCAGCACTCTGGAAGCAGAGGCAGGAGAATCGGGAGTGCAACGCAGCCCAGGTCACGTGAGAGATCCCATCTCAGAGGAAGCAAAGACATAAACAAATACAAAATAAAATGAGAAAGAAAAAGGAGACATTCACTCGGGGCGCTCCGGTCCTTCTCTAGCTCCCTAGACTGCTGCAGAGAGATCCAGGGCTCTGTTTCCAGAAATGGAACCACACCTCAGGAACTCTCCAGTGGACCTGCCCCCGAGGGCCACTCAGATGCTAACATTGCAGATGGGCTAGGTAGCCACTTGCCCAGCCCTCATCCTGGCCACAGGAGCCATACTTACCCCTGAGGAACTTAGGAGACATGTCACCCAAAGGCCTGGCTTCTAGGGGGCTGGTGAGAGTGGGAAGCAGAAGGGCCTTAGGAAGAGCAGCTGCTGGCTGCCACTCCTTCCTCAGGGCTTCCTGATACTTGCCTCTGCTGGTACACACAACCACAGACCCCAGGGAAAGCTGGGAGTCTGAGTGAGAATCCAGGCTCCCTAGATCACTGCTTGGTGGCCTTGGGAGTGTTGCTTGACTTCTCAGGACCACTACTGATGCAGGATTTTCCTCTAAAGGCATACTGTTGATTACAGGAGGCACCTGGCACAGAATCCAGCTCAGAAAAAAAGTGTGCTTTGAGCAGATGGGGCCAGGCTGTACTGAGGTGGGGTGGGGGCAGAGGGGAGATTGACAGGTATGCTCACCAGCAGAAACTGAAGAATGAATAAAACCCTAGGTGGAGTTGGAGGGAGGAAGAGAGGAAGGAAAGGGAGATGACTTCAGGGTCAGAAATGAGACCCGAGCACCAACTCCGTCAAAATGTGCAGCAAAGGCAGGATCAGAAAATGGGAGCGTGCCTTCCCACGTGTTCCTCTCCTCCCTTCAGACACCCCACCCCACCCTACCCCTATCTCCACCCTCACCCCAGCTGGCACTTGCACAACCTCCTGAAATGCAGTCACCTAGGACTCCCTTGCCTTCTCAGTTTGAGCCCATTCTGCCCAAGACCTCAGTCTACCTTCATCTGCTGTGTGTCAGCATACCTGTGGCCACAAGGGGGTGGTGATGCTAACACTCGCCTCTCTGTTACCTGGCCCTTTGCAGGATTAAGTCACCATGCTCTCGCACTCTGTTATTTGGCGCAGGCTTTGGCACATGCCCCCACTAGATCAATATTCTGCCTTTCTGTTCCTGAACTGGAGATGGGAAAAGGCAGACCTCAGTTTCCCTGGGTTGTGAAATGGATGCTGGGAAGGATTTGGGTGACTTGAGCTCTGGGACCACACAGCTGGCACACAGCTGGACTAAGGAGCCCAGCACGGTGTCAGAAAGAGCAAGCAAGTAGCATTGGGAGCTGCGATTGACCAGGAGTGTTCCTGATCAACTCCACCCCACAGCTGAGGCCCAGCTGGCTTCTTACCCAGCTGGCACAGAAAGAGCTGAGCTTCAGAGACTCCTGGATGGAGCTGGGGACCAGGCTCTGGATCTCACAGCTGCATAAGCTCTGAAAAGAAGGATCTACGAGCCTTGGGTCTTGCACTCTGAGAGGTTGGAAGGTCTCTCCCAGCACCCTTTGGGTGGGTGTGGGAGAACACACAGAGAGGAGATGTTCATAGAGGAAGAGGCACCTCTGGGCAATCTCCCATGTCACCATTGCTTCCCAGCTAACTGGGGCCCCAGTGCCCCTCCTACCAAGACCCTATTTCTTTACAGTGTTCAAAAAAAATGCACCAATTCCCTGTGGTCTTACATGCTTCAACTACCAGAGGCTAGTTCCAGCCTGGCTTTTCCTTAGGACCTTTGCACTCAGGTGTCTACCTCTAGGAAACTTCTCCTGGATGTTCTTTGAACCCCAGACTTCATACCCCACACTCCAACCTTCAGCTTTCAGCTAACAAGTCACCCCTGCAGCGAGACTGAACTTGACTGTTTGGAAGACAAGAGGATGCTCTCCATTGCTGTCTTTGAAGCTTCGTCTTGACCTGGAATTCCTACTTACCTGCTACCATGCCCTGAAGGAGTCAATGAACACTGAGCCTTAAACCTGCCTAGATTTTTGACCAAATCCCAGGATTCCTTCCAGTCTGATTTTCTTGTGTCAAAGAGGACTCCAGCCCACTAGTGACAAC